AGAATTTCGTTCATTTTTTCTTTTTTTTTTTTTTTTTTTTTTTAAGGAAGAAGAAACGTTTTAAAAATTACAATTACGACAGCCGACCGTTAATTTTGATCACCTTGTTTTATGAGACGTTCATCCGCGAAGATGCATCATTTGATAACACCAAGATACCAGGGATATTTATTAACAGCGGTAAGTAATTAACGGCGTGAAGCGAGGTTCAAAGTACCAATATTTCACCGTCATTCTCCTCCGCATAATTTTCACTGCCCCGCGCCACAAATAACCGTGAAACCTCGCATAAAAACCCCTTCGCTTCAAACCCCAAAACCAAAGAAAAAACTTCGCAAGTATCGCGCAACTTCCCAGCCCCTTCGCCCCTGATCCCTAACCCCGGTTCTCTCGAAAAGCACGTTCTTTCGAGCGTTGAACAGTGGCTGAAAGGGCACTGAAGAGACGAGAGAGCGTATCAGGCTCGCAGGTTGCACGGTAGCGGCTTATCGCTCGGCTGGTATCTCGTTGTACCGAGAGATGCACCGCGGGTAATCTACATCGTCCAGGAAGGAGAGAGGCCGCGACTGCAGCGTCGGGCCGTGTACAACACAGAAAAGTAGAAAGTCTTTCTCATTCGATGACCTGCCACCTTCTCCCCTGTTCAGGAAGGACCCCGATGCCACTGGCGTGGCCGAGGCTCCTCGCGTGTAATATAGAAGTCGAACATCGGCTCGCTGGCCACCGGTGTTTATTCAGGAAGAGTTCTCTACTGCTCGTAGATAACCGTGTCCACCGACAGTAACGAAGTCCATACGTTTTCACCACTCCGACGGAGTGAACGAGTCCGGATAAAACGGAGAAAAAGAGAGAGAGAGAGAGAGAGAAGAGAAAGAGAGAATCATTGCAGAGGGGCCTCGTTCGGGACTGAGATTTGCATGAACGTTCGGGGTCCTCGTGGTGCACGTAAATACGTGGGTACTTACGTACGACTGTACAGAGTCGAGCACGAAGGAAGTCTTGCTTCGACCGCAGGTCGTAGCCGATGTCCGGGGAAATCGATGGAAACTATATTTGGATGTCGGGGAATAAATTGTAATCACCGCGCGTGGTGCAGCGTGGAACGGATCGCGGAAGGTCGTCGCCGTACGGGACGCGCTCGACGTTTATGTGACATTCTCAGCGGCGAGATTTATGGGACGCTACGCGCATCGCGCCGCTCTCCCCTCTGCAAATCGCAGACGCGAGTCCGGACGATTTTATGGTCGCGTCCGCTTTGTGGTCTCTCGGCCAACGTTCTTCCGGTCTGCACACGCAATTTCTTTCCTCGGACACCATCGGTATTTCTTGCGAGTGCGACGAAACCTCTCCTCGAGACTAGGCCTCTTCTTCTCTGTTCCGCTATGAACCTCCTCTTGCTTTCAAAGCTTGACTCGACGTCGTGTGCGACGTTCGTTTGAGCGTTCCAGTTGATTTTACGGGCAATATGACGGTCGTATGACGAAACTTGTTACTGTTCACTCGATTGACCATCGTAGGACAATTGATTTCTTTTTGAATTTTGAATTTTATTTTGACGTGAAACATATGACGAACCTGTTATTGTTCACTGCATTGATGATTATAAGACAATTAATTTTCTTTCAAGTATTCTATATTAACGTGTAACAGGATGAAAAATACATAAGAATAACACAAATGAAACATTATAGCAAACGTAGATATAGGAATTTCAATCGGCTTCTTCGATAGAAATCTAAGATGAATAATCGAAGGATTTTTCAACCGTTATTGACAGAGATCGTTTCACAATATCCCGTCTCGGTTTTAAGTAAGATCTTTCATCACTTTCAACCTGTGTCGTGT